CCCCAAAACCCCAAAACCCCAAAACCCCTTTTTGCATATAAAAAATGGAACCCACATTTCAATCCCTTCTAGCCCAAGAAGCATCTCTAAGCGCCCTCCTTCTTTCCCATTTCGTAGAAGACTTCAACTTCATGGCTCACTGCACTGAGAGCAAGGACATTGTGGTTGACTCTTTTAGTGATGGATTTTTGAAGTTTTGACAGAGAGTGGTAAAGGTGGATTTTAGGTCTTGAGATGTTTTGAAGGTAGGAGATTTGGAGGATAATGAAGCCTGGAGCCGGGTGTATGGGGATTCTTATGTTTAGGTTGTTCGGAAGAGAGGAGATATGTAAGGTTAAAGAAATCAGAAAGCTAAGAAAGAGGGTTCAGATTTACCAACAGTTTAATCATCATGCATTAAAAGAAATAAATATGTATCATAATGGTCAGGATAAAGAGCTTTTAAATTTTCAAAGTATATGCAAGCCACTTTGTAATACTTTAACAAATGGTTCATCCTCAATAACTCTGAAAGCTTTTGAAGTCTCGAAAAAGTCATTCAAAAGACTTATCTGTGTTTACAATCTTCAGGTATTTATGAGATTACCCTATAGACACTTGCATTCACTAATTGCCAAGTTGACACTGAGAATGTGAAGTTTCCTATTCACACCAATTTTACTCTAGAAAAACTTCTGTTTGAAGGTTTGAATACAAGAATAACCAAGGAATGGAGAGAAAACCCTGAGAAAATTTACTCCCTTATAAGAGCTATTTCTGAATGTTCTCTCAGAGATTCCTTGAAACTTGTTTTCGTCGACCGACTGATTGATCAAAAGGAGATTCTCAAAGAGCTGGTGGACGATCTCAAGTTATCTAGCATTAAGTTTGCCGGGAGAAAAGCTGAAGACATGAGATGATGGCTAATTTAAGCTAGATAATTTGTGTTTCGTCTGAATATTTTAACTCTCGATTGTTTCAATGACAAATTATTCACTTGGGGTTTTGGGGTTTTGGGGTTTTGGGGTTTTGGGGTTTTGGGG